AACCCATTGTCACAAACCTGGGTGTACGGATTGATCGTGATTTTAAACTAGACAAACAGATCAATTCTGTGGTCGAATCCAGCTTCTTTCAGCTCAGACTTTTAGCAAAGGTCAAGCCTTTCCTTTCTTTTAATGACTTTGAGAAGGTAATACATAAGCAATAGCTCACGACAGGACCTCTTTGATTACAGATTTGAAAAGATCGTTGCTTGCTTTAAAAGTAGCACAATTCATTATGTCACACCTTGGAAAGTATCTAGATACCCCTGCTCTGATGCCAAAGTAACTGCACACTGAATATGTTTTGCCGTTTGATTTCTATGTCTGGTAAAACGGACCGCAGCTCCGTGTTGAGGGTTTCTGCCCCGTTACTTCTCCGCTGTTTTCTTGTCCCTCTTGTCTTTTTCTTTTCTTGGCTGGGGACTCATCAGCCACTAACCATTCATCCAAATTACTGTGCTCTCCAAATATATTAAAATTAACATTAAAATCCTCCATGTTGCTCTCAGACGGTAGACAAAACTAAAAGACAAGCAAACAGTTTGAAAACTGTTTTCGGCCAAACTGTATACAGTTAAATCGACCAGACTTCTTTCTGCAGATGTGAGCGTCCTTAACAACGGTCAATAAATCCTTGACAGCGGTCTGTACTACTGGATTAGCAACGTTTCACGTGTTCTGAATTGACCAATCAGAATGGAGTATTCAACTAAGCTATGTAATAAAAAGGTTTAAAGGAACACAGAAGGACGCTGATACACAAAGAGGACAGTGACAAAACGAAAAAGATTAATGTTTTAGTAGAAGCCTGCTATAAAAGCTTTAGTGAGATGGCCAATTATGAAACTAAGAATCTAAAGTGTTGTTCCAATTACCTAAATTAATGAAGTGCCTTATTTGATGTTAGACGTGACTGTGTTTTAACTTCTATTTCCAAGGACAGAAGCAAACCAAGCCGTTGTTCTGTTGCACAATCAGTATCTGAAACACAGCAGCTCTGCCTTTATCCTGAAGTGTGTGAACCACAGGAACAGAAGATTTTTTAAGATAACAACGTTTTTATGAGCAAAGAAACAGAAAGAAAAGTTAGTTTACACTCCGTCAAATAAAGGTCTGTTTGATGCAGAGGCTTTGTTGTGTCTGTAGTGTCCAGCATTATGCAGGGAGAACAGAAAAAGCAAACAGCACATTTAAAAATGTAAGGATGCCAGCTTTTTCTACTCTAACTGCTAGCTTATTCTCAACCTTTCAGTTCTTAAGGTGAACTCACCCACAGTTAAACAGGAGAAACTGGGGATACAGCACCTTAATCCGCCGTGGAACTGAGGATTGAATACAAGGTCTCCCTCCTCACCCACTAGTTTATCCATGGAACTGCCCCCCCCTACCTCAAGGAACTCCAGTCCTCACCCCTCATACTTCCTTGCGGACCACCCGCTCCAGCAAAACCAACCTCCTTAAGCCCCCCAGGACCAAGCTCCGTACTATGGGAGACCGGGCTTTCTGCTCAGCTGCTCCCAGACTGTGGAATGCTGTCCCCGAGCACATGAGAGCACCACAGACCGTGGAGGCTTTTAAAAAGGCCTCAAACTCCATCTGTTCAATAGAGCCTTTTCCTAGACCTTTTATCTTATTTGTTATTGTTTGTTTTTTACTGCTTTTTATTAATTCTACCGTGCTGTGTACCGTTTTTATTTTGTTCCATGCTAAATGCTTGTAGCACTTCGGGATCTGAACTCAGATATGAAATGCGTTATAAATTAAACCCATCATTATTATTATTATTAAATAAACCTTTATCTTTATCCTCAACCAGGGCATCACAATGTTGAAGTACTTATCAGTATATGCTGTGCAGAGCCACACAACAACATCATGGAGGACATACCAAAGTAGTCGAAGCGCCCGGGGGCCAACCTCTCCGGGAAGTGGGAGGTAAACAGGAAACAGGTGAGGAAGGCGAAGACGAGGTGGTAACAGTGACTGGACAGGGCCTCGCTCGGGAGGCAGTTTCCCCCGCAGCACAGAAGGATCTACACGCAGAAAAACACAGGTTTACTTGTAAAATATTTTTAAAAAACACTTACAATAGTCTTACAATAGAAATCAAGAAGATACAAAATTGTTTAAAAAGTGTCAGGGTGGGCATTAAGGGTTGCAGCATTTAACAGTGATTAGGAATTATTATTAATTGCAGCATTGCTCAAAGTATTAAAGCATGGCACTAATCCGCTCCCAGCGCCTGCACAATGACACATATTCATAAAACTACTCATTCTGTGCTAGTGTGCACACAGTTTATCCACACTGTTATAATATGGGAGTGAGAGCAGACCCAAACACACTCACCCTGTAAAACAGAGGAACAGTGTCAAATATAAAAGGAAGGACAAACGCTCCCGTCCTCAGGACTTTACTCCTCTGGGGGAACTGCAGCTCCAGGAACCTGTGGAGACACAGAGAGGACATTTAGATTTATACGTAGCAAAAGGGACACACACATGGAGAAATATAAGATCAAACAGACCAACTACCCTGTGGTGGTGACCCCACAGAGAAATCTACCATATGATGTTAGAAGCTTCAAGCACACTATTTAAGATAAAGAGCTACTAAGTCAAAAATGATTTAGTTTGTTTGGCAGTGAATAGTTTAAGTGTCACATGACTGTGTTAATGCTGCTTTAGTGGAGTTTCAATCGTGATAACCACATTCTGAGAGAAACACTAAAACCTTTCAGACATTGAGAAGTCACATTTATATAAATCAAGTGCCAATACAGAGAGGTCATCTATCTATCTTTCTATCTTTTGAAAGCTCTAAGCATATTATTCCTTCTTACAAAACTACTATTTACTTGATCTTAACCAAACTCCTGAAAGCAAGATTCTCACAAAGCCAAGGCCTTGACATTGAAACATGTATTTGACATCTTTAGCCTGAGGAGGAGTAGGTATGTGCAGCGAGCTCTTACCTGGAATAGCAGGACAGGCTGGTGCACAGCACCGTGTTTCCAATGGCGATGGGGGCGAAGTGTTGATGGAGCCAGGTGTTCACCCAGCCGTCTGGCATGACATAATGCCCGTAGCTTATGGCACACCCTGAACACAAACACAGGATATTGGAAAAAGTTAAAATAGGGGAACTGAAGTTGGACTGTGAGGTTTTTGTATAAAGTTTAGTTTCCTACCTCTTCTGCTAAATATGTTTACTTTAAAAATCACGTCATTCTAGGTACTTTTGTTTTTCTCTTTAACAGAAATGCATTGAAATAATTACACTTGGCATTTTAAACATTTCAAACCACAGCTGGTAGATGTTTTTTCTGGTGTCAGAGATGATCACATAAGAAAGGCTGCAGTCTTCTACAGTGTGCTCTCTGATTCAACCACTGGAGGTCGCCAAGGTGGGAATATTTCAAGATCTAACATTTTTTTTATTTCGAGCAAGGATTGAAGCTTTTCAGTGTACTAAACCATTTCAAAACATGTAACTTCTTCTCTAAAGTCTCCCTAACCCTGCAGGGAGAAACCCAGGGAAAACCCATAAGGACTTTTGAACATTTGGAACTGGGCCAATCTGGGCACTAAGAGGCTTTGTGATTAAGGATCAGTATGGGAACAAAGCACTGTAAAAGGGAAGGGAGGAAGCCTGAGTTTCTGAATGTTTGACTGCAGGTCTTTCAGTGCTGGGATCATAAAGACATTTACACTATTGTATATTTCTTCGTAAGAGAAATGCACACACTGAACATATACATCGACAGTAAATACAGGAGTTTCACCCACAAAGACAAAACATGTCATGCATGTTCAAACTGACAGTGACAGCAGGTGCAGCAAGAAAACATATTTCAATAACCTATGCAAAAAGCTTTGAATTCTTACAAGGCTTCTGCACTCTGTGTCAGGGAAATAATATCCATCAGATAATTGATTGTGAGGCATATGCTGCCTGGGGTGCAAAAAAATGCAAATAGAATGTCATTTGCAGGGTAAGTCATAAATTATAGTTCCCTTTAAGATGCCTAGTCAGCGTTCTTGAAATTCAATTATTGCTACAAACGTTACCACACCAGGTTTCATGTAGAGGTTATTTCACCCTTCTTTCCTCAACGTCCATAAGATATGTGTGGCTCGATGGACCAGTAATATTCCTGTTCACTGTAGTTTTTCAATGTTTAATGTTCATGACTGAGGAAGAGCATCAAGCCTATATTCAGACAGTCACATCTGAGTTCTGCTAAGAAGAAAATATGCACCAAAGCTTCCATTTTCAGGATTTCCTGATATGTCTGAGTCTTACCCAGACTGTAGAGGCTGATGGCTCCGTAGTCAAAGAAGTAACAGATGTGGCGGGACTCTGGGGACATGGTGCTGAAGGTGTGAGCACAGCTGGAGGTGAAGGGGTAGATGCAGATGAGCAGCATGTACACCAGCAGCGGCCAGGTGTAGCTGTCCGTCAGGAAGTTCATGGTGGAGCAGAGCGCAAAGAAACGCCACAGGAAGTACCTGAAAACACCAGTTTGTCTTATTTAAGCATGACAATAAGCTCAAAACTGTCCCTCACTTTTCAGAGCTGTTATTCTTGGATTTACCCAACATCCTGATCTCAGTCTCCTGTTTGTTTGGATTCAGGATCGATATATTTTGAGGAACTTTTTCCAACCTATCTAAAAGTTCTTTAAGGTACATTTTAGCCACCTGCTTATTTTCCCTGCAGCACTATGAAGGATTACATCACAGATACTCCTCATAGTCATACTTCTACTGATCCTTACAAACTCTTCCATGTTTTCTCAGCTGTAGATAAGATAAGTCTTGAATACAAATCGTAACAACCTGGTTTATGAAAAAATCATTCCATATCTATTGTTTGAACAAATGTGGTTTTATGTCTCATTCAATTTGATTAAAGGTGGGGTAAGTAAGTTTGAGAAACCGGCTCGAGATACACTTTTTGTTATATTCCATGGAATGCTCTTAACATTCCGATAGCAATGAATATCTTAAGTGCTTTGACAAAAAATCCATAAAAAAATGTCATCTGTCGAAGCCGTAGTACTGTAAAAAGCACGACCAATCATTTTAGCTGGCCCGGCTAAAATCACTAGATAGCCTACCTGCCTGTCAGCCTTCCATCTGTGCACAAACTTATCTCGTGCCCTCATTGGTCATGTGTGTGTTGGAGGAGGGGCTCTGTAAGGAAGTGGCAGATTTGTTCCGGCTGTGTATTTTCAAATTCTAGCGCACTCGAGCTGGTTTCTCCAAAATTACCTACCCTACCTTTAAGCAGATGCTTTTCATCCAAAGCCACTAACAATAAATGCAATCAACGGTGAGGATACAATTTCAGAACAGCAAGAATCTTGCAAGTACACCAGCTTTAAAAAACCCAAAACGTGCACAAGATACAGAAAGACATTTTATGTATGGCTTTTTAAGATATAAATGATCTAAGTGCAAAGTAAGTAAAGGTATTACTTTTGTATATGTTTTTTTTTCAAGTGGTAAATGAAATGTACTGATACTTTGGACCAGGTTGAATACAGTAGTGAATGTTGATCTTGTGGTCATTGTCTAATGTTAGCCGTTCGATGGAGCAAGGGCAAATCTTTAAAATGTCCCTGTAGTTGCACTCACCATGTTGGCAGGAAGTGGGTCCAGATGTTGACCGTCTCGTTGTTCATCTGGAAGCTGCTGAGGACGCAGTCCAGCGCTGAGCTGTGGGGGTGGCGGTATCCAGAGATGATGCTTTCCTCCCTGAACACCTGAGGAACACACACACACACACACACTCCTGATGAACACACACACTCCTGATGAGCAATCACACTGCGAGTCAGCTGTGCAGAGGAAATCCTCAACGTTTCCTCAGGTTTTTCCTGTCAAAAACACATTTTCAGTGTTTACTGAGGAGCTTCAGTGCAGAGGTTACTATAGTTTCTATTTGTAGCCTCGGGTTGCATAAGATTTTGATGAATAGTTGTAAGAAATGACATTTGTGTGCAAAAGGTCTTGTTGGATGTGCTAAAAGGAAGATAAACAAATATGACAACAATGTTAATATTCTCCCAACGAAAGGCTATCTGTTGCCAGTCTCTTCATAGTAGAGAATTTTAGAAACGTTGAAACTATGCCTTGCAATAACCTTACTGATAATAATTCTAAATAATTCATTTTTCAAGACATTGTGTTTCAAACATGAATGTGGTACATTACGATAAGATCTACTTTAGCATACACTGTGGGTGTTTCTCAATGTCGAGTACGCTTGCTTGGTAGCACATCTTCCGAGTCACTTCCTTCAGAAGCGAGGCAAGAATACTTCCTGGCATTCGGCAAAGAGTGGAAACCCGGCGAGCAAGTGTGCAGGTGTGCGTCATATGAGAGGCCCCGCCTTACATTTTCCCGCCACAGATTTGGGGA